TGTGGATATATATATATATATATATATATATATATATATATATATATATATATATATATATATATATATATGTATGTATGTATGTATTAAAAAGGCGACAAAGATCAGATTGCTACACGAGTTTCAAGCTACCGCGTTAAAGTCACCTTACGTCTAGCGGTCTGGATATTGTATCTTTCCGCGTCGTGTCGTTTTGGAACGTAATTGCTCCGTCTTGCTCATTCAGACATTTGGCATTGTCTGTTTTCGTTTTGGTAGGTGTCAGTCTGTTAGTCTGTTTTTCTCCGTTTATGTTTCTTTTCTCTGTTCTTCGTTATCGTTTTTCCCTCGTTTTTCTGATTTATTGTATTTGGGATAGAAAAGGAATGAGAATACCTTAGTCAGGAGAAAGGGCAATAAAATATGAGGCTTCAGGAAGACAGAAGAGAATAGTTGGCGCTTCATTTCAATTTTGATGATTGTAGACGGCAGACAACATGAAGGTCTTGCGTAAATATTTTCACAACAGTAATTAGGAGAGGTAGCTAAAAGATAAAATTTACTAAGCGCTAAAATGGACAGGGGATTTTGGAGAGCCAGGATCACCCACACCCTGAAGGGAGACTGCAGATAGAAAATGATACTCAAATTTGGTCTAATCTGAAACAATTCCGTTACCGACACCATTAGGTCCGAAGCAATAGTAAAAAAAAAAAAAAGCAGCAATAGAGAAAAGAAAAACGTAAAAATAGTATCTTCCCCACTCTCTCTACTGAGACTTAACGTAACACAAGGTTGGGTATTGTCGGGGGAATCCGAGCGCGTACACCCGGACCAGGGCCAAAAATTGCCCAGATCCTGCACCCGTCTTTTGCGCTAGCATCGGTAAGCCTACCTATCCCCCTCTCCAATGAAATGACAGCCGCGGGCAGCTCTTCCCTGGGAACGGGGTGCTCTCAGTATTTCTTAAAACGTTAAAGTAAAAGAATTGTTACTAAATACGTTATTTTATAATCTATTCAAGATTTCTCCCAATTCTCGAATCGTGCGACCCCCAAATTATAATTTTAAAAAATATTTTCATGATGTATCTCGTCTATCATGCGAGTTCCTTTTTTGAGAGACCAAATTATAATAACGACTTTTCCTCTATCTCTTTATCTCATCTTTTAGTTATATAAATTAAAAAGTAAAAGAGAATGATAAAAGTATCGTTAGTAACACTATACTCGTTGCGTAAACGCGTACAGCCATAAACAACCGAACGAGAAACAACTAAAAACATCTTATAAACGTAAACAATGAAAAAGATGCCTATTCGCTCTGCTTGTATTTTATAATACGGTACTAATATAGGAATATTACAGGCATTATTATTGGATACATTTAAATAACACATCAGTTTTATCAAAATCATGTGTACTTTTTAGCTACACTAAATGGATATATAGTTTGGTCAACAACGTAGCCAGGGCCAGCAATACATATGCTAATTTTATATCTCATGTATGATGCGACCTCCTTAATATTACCTTCAAAATTAGGTCTTCAAAAGTTGCATGATACAAGAGTATATACGGTATTTGACCCAATATGAAAACAAATAGGCAGCCATTTAAGCAATATGCATATTAATTATTATGCAGGGATAAAGGAACACGTGACAATTCTAAATTTCTTATAATAGTTTTATAATTACAGTTAGTCGTATTCAAGTATTTATCTTTTGTTCATAGATATTTTCATAAATTTGTTTTCATAAGAATTTCTTTATTGTAAGATAAATAATAAATACTGCAGACTTGTTGGTCCACATATTTTTATAAACTTGAAAATATAAAATTATTCAGGTAAATAAAATATCCAATGAAACAAAATTTATTTCTTTATCTAATAAAAATCTTAATCTAATACAATTATTCTTGTAAATTAAAAATATAATAAATTCAAATCTAATTCTTTTCTTGTTAAATCTTGGGAAAAATAAAGAAAGTATAAATCCAGTTATATGCGTTTGAGTTTTATTAAAATACCAAAAATAGCTTTTTAAAGGGATAAAAATTACAGAGGGATTTTATCCCAAAGGCGATGTCAAAGGAAAAACTGTCCTTTTAATTTGCCGTTTTTGCCTTTTCTTTTTCATGTATGAATTAACTTTTCACGAATTATGAGTCAACGTAGAACTATGATTGAATGTTTGGAAAGGGCATCAATAATTAGATTGTCATCTCTTCCATCTGGATATGTGTGTCTTTTAAAAGTTTTGCCTGAAAAGTTCATAGACTGACTATGAAAGTCTGATGTTAGATCTGTGAAATCATGCATTTAAATTAATTTTAACTCTTCTTATTAATAACTGCATTGTTTCTTTCCAGGTAAACTAACATCTGACTGCTCAAAGAAGACTGTTCACTCCGTTGATCTAAAAGGTCGTTAACAGCAAGCATGACTACATGCGATACTGCAACAAGGACATGTGTTTTATCGTGTTGGGGAACAGATGATAGTCCTATCATGAGAATGGGAAGGGTTATCAACCAGTTAAAAGCCACATTCACAAACAGGCATCATTTTGTGCTAGAGCACTGTCATGATGAAACATGTCCCCTTTTTTTCAGGTTTCCAGGACGTTTGTTCTTAGTAGCCTTTCGTAACTGGCTCAGCAAGTTAGCATCTTACTCTCCATTAATGGTATGTAGATAGTCAATAAACATAATAAATAAATAAGACAGTTAATAAGAACAAAACCGTTACCTTCACTACAAATGAAACGACATTGAACATTTTGAGGCAGGTAAGGACTGGTGTTTCCATTGCATGGATTGTCTATTTGCTTCGGGATCAAAGAGATGAACCCAACACTCAACTTGGGTTAGGAAAAGTTCAAGGAAACCAGCTGGATCTGCTTGAAACAATGTCAGATTTTACTAATTTTAATTAATAAAAATATTGTTACAAATAAAATATTAAATTTAATCTAATAAAATTATTCTTGTAAATAAAAATATAAAAAATAAAACTTAATAAAAAAAATGCCATATAATAAAATAAAATTTACTTCTTTATAAAAAAATCAAATGAAATAAAATGTACTTTTTTTCTTGCTAATTCTCGGGAAAGAAAAAGAATGTATTAATCCATATGTTTGGGTTTTATTACAATTCAAATATAAAAATTATAAAATAAATATAAAAATTAACGACGGATTTTACAGTAAGAGCGCTTTCAAGAGAAAAGGCGTCATTTTGATATGACGTTTTTGTCTCTCTCTTTTTTCTTTACAGGTATGAATATTAACTTTTTCTCAGTTATAAGTCAACCAACCAAAGTAGAACTATGATTGAATGGATGGAAAAGGCATCAATAATTCTCTTCTATGTGTGTCTTTTAAAAGTTTTGACTGAAAAGTTCATAAGCTATGAAAGACTAATGCTGTGACATCATGCATGCATTAATTTCAACTCTTCTTATTAATAACTACATTGTTTCTTTCCAGGTACAAGACGGACTGAAAAGTTCATAGTCTGACTATGGAAGAATGTTGTTAGAGCTGTGAAATTTTTCATGCATTAATTTTAACTCTTCTTATTTATAAATGCATTGTTTCTTACCAAATAAACTGACATCTGATTGTTCAAATTAGACTTAAAAAGTAAATAGTAGTGATTTTTCTTGAAAATGGACAAAATTGGCACCATGGCGTTATCAAATACCTGCAGAGACAGGGTTTAGCCCCAAGAACATTCATGCTGACATGTTTACTACATTAGGGGATGATGTTTCAGATTTATCAAAGATGCAAGTGTTAGCAGCTGTATCTAGGAGGGGAAGGTAGAGTTTGGATATCCTGCAACTGCCACCACCAAGGAAAACATTTATCGTGTTCGCCACATGGTGATGGTTGACAGGTGATGACTATAAATCAAATAGCCAATGATATTAGCATATCGTTTGAGAAAGTTGAGTATATTCTTGACATGACGAAGGTTTCTGTATGGTGGGTGCCACGACTTCTGAGACTTTATCGAAAGCGCACCAGGCTGATCACAGCAAGGAAAATCTGACATGGCTTGAGCCAGATCTATCTGCTTTTAACTTTTCATAAACCAAGAGACAATGTTGGGTACATAAATTTGAGCCAGAGACAGAGACAACCCATCCAGTAGAAGCAACCTTTCTCAACTGCTCCAAAGAAGGCTACTTTTATTTCACCTATAGGGAGTTTGATGGCCTCAACTTTTTGAGATGCAAAATTAATTGTATTTATTAATGATCTTAAAAAAGGACAAAAAATCAATGACAACTTACGGAGGTAGTTACGAAATGTAGCCGTAAGTTCTATGCTGACAGTTTCTTTTCTCTGACTTCTTGCTCGTGAAATTCTCTTCCGGTTCCATGGTATCCAACCAATTTTATCTACTGTCCTCCTGATTACTCTTCTGTTTCTCTTTCACCTTAGTAATGTTTCTATTTTCTAATTCTTTCACACCTATGACCAAACACCCATGGAAAATTAAAGAAAGTTGTTATGTTTCATAAGTACAATGCTCTAGGACACACATCCTTGATTTCAATGGCTGATATTCATGATTACGGCTTTGAACTGGTTGATCACTCCCCCCTATCTTATGATTTAGCCCCATCTGACTGCACTTTGTTTCCCAAAATAGAAATAAAACACTTATCTTGTAAACAATATCGCACTGATGATGACGTCCTATCTACTGTTGATGACTGTTTTAATCAAAAGGATGAAAGTTTATTCACCAATGGGATCCAACACCGCAACACTGATGGAAGAAATGTGTAGGCCGCAATGTTGAAGAATAAACCTCATTTGTTCACATTAAATGAGATTATCTTAATCAGCCTGAGCACTTTTCAGTCGAGCCTTATAATTGTGTATTCTTCTACGCATCGATTTTTATATAATTCTATAATTTTTTTTATTCTTAGATGAAGAATTGTTATTATTCCATGAAGTATTCAGAATATTATCCATATCCTTGTTTTTTTTTAAGTCATAATGCAATGCGTTCTTCAATCTGCCTCATGTTTAAATTTCCTCCAGTAAGCCCACTGTTAATCTGTAGAACGATCAATTATACGTGTTTTTTTTTTTTTTGCAAATCTCACAACAGATATATATTTTTTTTTAATCATTTCACCCCAAGCAAGGCGGGGAGCCACTAGGACGCAAGGGGTTACAGAAAATTTAGAGCAAGATCAGATAGGAGTGATAGAAGAAAGGATGAGGGTAGTGGAAAGATCAAGGCAACTGGAGATGTCGATTGACATTACATTGAATAGCTGAAGATTATAGCTCTCAGGGAAACTGGAATAGGGAAGGGAGTTCCACAGGCGAGAGGTGCGAGACATGAAGCTATTGGAGTAGAAGAGACGGCTAAATTTAGGAGTTTCGACAGTGAAGGGTTGAGAGCGGGATGCCAGCCTCGTAGGGCGCTTGAACTCATGATGGTAACTATTTTACTGCTGTTTTCTAAGTATTGTTCATGTGACATGCTAGAAAATTTTTTTCTTTCCAGAATCTATCTTACATATCTATAAGTCTACCATTCGTCCAGGCTTAAGATATATTGTCACATATGATCTGATATCCATCCAGATAGTAAAAAATCCCTTTCTCCTCCGCTGCCAATCCGTCCGAAAGTATTCTTTGTTCAAGAATTCCACCAGTTCTCCGAGTTTAGTTATATTTTAAATCTTTGTTTTCTATTTATTACAGCGGATTATACAAAAATAAAAAGAGCAAACAATTAAACATGTTCTTACGGAAAAAAAATGAACGACCCGAGTTACTCGTCCTGGGTAAGACGATAAAGTACATCCGACAGCAAGACCTTTGGTCGGGAGATTTTGAGGAGCATGGAACCACTTCTTAATTGCTGGTGTTCTCAGGTCCACCCTGACCCGGGGTTGTAACACTGTCAGTGTCCCAGATATGGGTAAATAGTTACCCCCTCCCAAGTGGTCAAAACACTATGAAAGTATAAAAATAGGTTTTATACTTTTTTTGGAAAAATTATTACCAGCAATACATTTTTTTAAAAATATACCTAACAATACATTTTTGGAAAAAAAATATTACAAGCAATAGAAATCTTGCAGGCATTAAATAACCCATTGAGGTTGAAATGCCGAAAACGAAAACAAACCAAACCAATAAATACCGAGATAGATAGATAGATAGATAGATAGATAGATAGATAGATAATATTACCAGCAATAAAAATCTTGTCCGCATTAAATAACCCATTGAGATTGATATGCCGTAAAACAAACCAAACCGAAAATATTACCAGCAATATAAATCTTGTCGGCATTAAATAACCCATAGAGGTGATGATATACCGTAAAACAAACCAAACCAAAAATATTACCAGCAATAAAAATCTTGTCGGCATTAAATAACTGATTGAGGTTGATATGCCGTAAAAAAAACCCAAACAAACAAAACACGAGTTACTCGTGAAAATCCAAGGCTGTATATACACATCGATTTTTATGAAAATCTATAATGTCTTTCTTATATGCTTCATTGCTATAGTTTTCTAATACTCTTGGATTATTATCCTCATGTTTGTTGCTTTTATTCCATTATATATGACGATGCATTCCTATCCTACCTCAGGTGAAAATCGCATCCAGTAAACCCACTGTTGATTCGAAGGAACACTCAATTGTACACAAATCTCTTTCAGATTTAACGATGCATACGCATTTTATGTTGCCGCCGTCTAAGCAGATATAATAAAATGTTCATTCATGCATTCACTCACTCGATGTTTTTCTATACACTATTGTGACATGACAGTGATAAGACTATAGGCAACAAAGCAAAACTCATCAAGAGTGGGGTTTGAGTTGTTCCTTGTCTCTCCTGTGTCAACATAGGTAAGCATCTGATAAGATAACCGTCACTCGTTCCACTGATTTCCGAAATCGCGATCAATACTTTGTGCGAAAATACTGCGAACCACGAAACAAAAATAATTACATCTTGATAGATCTATGTTTCTATCCATGCACGCATTGCCTACAGAAGAGGGAAGTTCTTCTTTGAAATTGAGTGTTTGAAAATCTAGCCCAAGGTAAACGTGCAGCGCATTCAGCTACAGGGTAGGCCGATAGATACATGGATAGTGGATTTACTAGGCGTAGCTTAGATGTGGCACAAGGGCGAAAGTATGGAGTACCTAGTAAGGATCGATCTCGCTATTCAGTCGTAATTGTTCTAGCTGACCATTATACGTCGATGTGCCCAAAAATGATTTTCTAAGCGTAGCTTTCATGTGGCACAGGGCCGAAAGTGTGAAAGACATAATGAGGCTAGAACTCACTTTTTAGTCGTAATTGGTTTAGCGAGACAAGCTTGCTAACCACTGCACCAGATCGAAGTGCCCAGATGATTTCCTAAGCGTAGCTTAGATGTAGCACAAGGCCGAAAGTGTGGAGCACCCATTGAGAATAGAATTGCCTACTTAATTGTAATTGATTTATCCAGACAAGCTTGTTAACCATTACACCACGTCGAACTGCACAGATGGATATATGGATAATTTGTTGAAGTTTATCGAAACACCATTCTGCGAACGATCAATGTCAGGGTCGAACTTACAAACAGTAATTTGTAAAAAGGAGCTCGCTAACCACCACACTACGTCAAGTCCTCCTATAAATACATAGACAGATTTTAAAAGATTTAGAGAGAAGCGGGCACAATGAAACAATAAAGAGAGATAAATAAACTCTAAGCTCCTTCAAATGAAATCTTTGTTTTTCTTTGGTATATTTTCCACATCCTTCATTATATGTTTAAAACTACAATTTTTGCTTAAAAACTTATCTATTCTCTTTTTTTTTTTTTTTTTTTTTTTAGGAGCAAATGCAGCGAGGGATAAAGAGGAATTACATTTGTTTTTTTTTTGCTAATTTCATTTTTTCTCTCATTTTCTCTTTTTCTCTGCATGTTCGATTTTTTCCCCTTCTAAATCCAAATGCAACTGTGCGTCATCTTACAGAGGCCAACACATACAGGCACGCCCTGAAACACGAAATATACAAGCATGAAAAATTTTCAATGGCTTTTGGAGCATGCGCACTCGTGCGGTTAAAGTGAGTAAACCCTGACGTCTCTTCCAAGATGAGGGCGACATCTATTGATCTATGGTGTCGTGCGCATGCGCATCGGATTATAAAAACGATGTCTGTCGAATCTCGGCACAGCGCAAAAGACAGACTGGATTTCCGGCGTTGCGCAGTTCCTTTTCCGCTTTCCACTGTTATTGTTTTTGTTTTTTCTGTTTTTGTTTTTTTTTTTTTGTTATTTTTTTCTTTTGTTTGTGTTTTTTTTTTCGACGACTCTGATTAAAATCTTCCACAAGTAATAGCCAAGACTTGAAGGAGGATTGCCAGAAAGAATATATTAGAAGAACCTGAAGAAGATTAAACAAAAGACTATATGAACACAAAAGAGACAATAAAAAAAAAACAACACACAAAACGCATTGGTTGTTCATTGTAAGGGAATTGACCACAATTTTTTCATATAAAATGCTACTTTAATCAAAAGAGAAAATAATTCATTGAGGCGAAAATGTCTAGAAAATGCTTTAATCGCTAGTTCAGCCACATTAAATTTACGTCTAAGTTGTTACAACGTTTCACCATCCTTGGGAGATTTTCTGTTTTCACAATGTGGGATATTTACGAAGATTATGGAAAGAAAAGAAAAGGAATATAGATAAATTTGGCTAGATTGCAAAATAATATTTCAAAAACTTTTCAAACTACCAACGTCTCACTTTCATGCGCCTGTGTAGTCACAACAAAGTCAACAAACGAATGAAACACGTAACAAATAAACTGTTTCCATTATATATATATATATATATATATATATATATATATATATATATATATATATATATATATTCAAATGAGAGAAAGAACAGATGGAGTAAAAAATCCACTGTTTGTAGCATTTATTTTTCAAAAAAGCTCAATACAAAATATAATTGCCATTCCAAAGCAGCAAACACGGATAATGCCAACAATTGTAATTGTAGAAATTTTAACAGGTGTCCAGTTTCTAACAGACTCTCTTGTTTACCTAAGCACTATTTCTACTATAGAAAACCCAACAGTTAAAATATTTTATATTGGGAGTACCAATAATTCCTTTAAACCTAGGTGGTACCAACATATATCATCTTTCACCAATAACGCGTACAGACACTTCCTGAATATTTTTGGAACTCAAAAGAAGTTAATAAAATTCTTATGGTAAAATGGAAAATATTTTTTAAAAACTTGTAAATCTTTAAACGAACCATGTTTCCTATGTTTACATGAAATATAAATAATCAAAATTGGTAGCAAAGTGAATTAAAAGTAAATTGCTGACACAGTTTATCTTTTACCTTATTTTGTTTACTCAGCTTAAATATTGCTATGTATTGCCGTCCATTTAATATATTAATATTGTATATAGATGTTCCACATTTTTAATTTTATCTACAGGCCCCTTTAAGAAGTTTCCTGAATATAATTTTTTTAAATTTTTTGGTAACTTTACGTCTGATTAACCTACCCCACCCTTCAACAGACTGATTATGTCATATTTTTCTACAATCACAATACATTTGTCGCTGCCATATTTCCCGCAATCGTCAATGATGTACTGCCTATGTTGCGGTTTACCGTGACATGAAAAAAAACTCTCCCACATCCACCGTCTGAGCTTACTATTCTATTTAGCGTAGATTTAACGTTTAATCGGTTAATCTATACATATGCACAAGTATATTTTCAATTCTGACCTTATGCTTCACCCACTTTAAATTTCGGAAGAGAGGTAACATTTCGTTTTTAAATTTCCTTAAAAATCATTTAATCACCAGTTACTTACCATCAACTGAAGAAGTACAATTATAGTTTTGAAACGTGAATGCTTTTGAGTAACGATTTCAAAATTTTATTATAATCTCTTATTATATATATATATATATATATGAGATAGAGAAAATAAAAGGGATAGCAATTCAAACACGTATACCAACTAAAATTAATATTTTATGTAATAAGAAATAATGCCGGATTAATAAACCCTTTTAAAATTTATAAATATATATATATGTGTGTGTGTGTGTGTGTGTGTGTGTGTGTGTGTGTGTGTATATATATATATATATATATATATATATATATATATATATATATATATATATATAACTAGACTCGATCCGTTTAGGTGAAACCTAGGTAGGTTTGTCTGGCTCACTAGGTGTATATATATATATATATATATATATATATATATATATATATATATATATATATATATATATATATATATATATATATACATATATATATATATATATATAGTTGTGCTATATTTATGGGATAAATATCATAGAGAGAGCGTATGTGAATAGAGATATAAAAGTGAACATGCCAGAGTCAACGTCTCCAGGGCGACAGGCTGTTTCATGCCAGACGCAATCGTCATGCCGCGATCTGACGATTGCGTCTAGCATGAAACAGCCTGTCGCATCTGAGTGTTGACTTCTATGTTCACTTTTATATCTATATAAATATGTGTGAGTGTGTTTGTGTGTGTCTGTTTATTTTGAGCCTGTTTGTTATTGCGTGTGTATGTGCCTCTGTATATGTGTGAAATGCATAATCGTATGTCATATGTTTCACATTAGCTTATAAATGCATACTGAAATCACCTCGTGTTTGAAATAGCTGCCTATTTCCTGTCGGTGACTCGCTGTCAGAGCGCTGTGTTTGTACTAACTTTAACGGCTAAGATTTCGAATAGTGATTTTGTAAGGTAAAAATATTTGGCATTTTGGCCTAACACAATCTCATGCTAAACATGTTCCCTGGCCAATTTGCTATGGCTTCAGTTCATGTTGTTGCTGCACTCTCCGGTTTAAGAATGTTTCGTTTCTTACCATTAAACCCATCCGAAATTATTGTGCAAAAATGACATTATTTCAGTTCCTTTCTCGTAAATGTGTGCATGGGCTAATAGATAGTGGCTCGGAATGAGAACCCGGAGAGCTGAGGTCGAATTCCAGCCGTGTTCGTTACGTTCTCTTACGTGTAGATGTGTTAGGGAAATATATGAACACACATCATCCCGGCAGCCATGAACTGGAAAAATCGTCACGTTATAAATATTGTTAATTTGTTAATGTAATATTCTTATCAAGAATTTTTTATTATTATTATTACATTTCTATAAATAAAAATATATATATATATATATATATATATATATATATATATATATATATATATATAATAACCCTCAAAAGTTTGATAAGCTGTCAAAACAAACCAATCAATCTGTTAGTTTCTTGTTGTATATCCGTTCATTTTTCCCTTTTTATCAATTACACTCAACTACTTCTTTCAGGAAAGCCCAAAACGAGGTCTTTTCGCTGCACTCAGCAAATTTCTTATGCAGAAAAAATAAATTTGTTCCCTCAAAATAACATTCATGAAGCGTTTTTTAGGTATAAATTAATATTTTATGTGAATCTGAATCTAATCAGAAATAGTTTTACTTTGAATAGATGGAAGAGGCTCGGCATTTTATAATATACTTCGAGAAGTTAGGCAATTAATGTCTACCGGCCTATTGCAGTAAATGTACTTCTCGACAACAGGAAATAATATCGGTTTAAAAAACCTACTCTTTGCCTAAATGCAGATAGATAGATAGATAGATAGATAGATAGATAGATATAATATGGGACACTCCCGTCAGTTTCGACGTATGACGATCTGACAACTTAACCAATTGGTTTAGTTATGAATTTTATGCGATCGTCTTAAGTGACACTTAAGACCCCCAAGTAATTTTCAAGGGAGGCCACATATGGAGCAAGAGTGGGGATGGTGGGATGAGGCCCCTGTTAGATTGGCTGACCTTTTAGATCTTGCTCTCGCTTCTTGAAGACAATTCGGACTAGCAGAGTGAAAAGCGTTGTGTCCACTAAAACACGTTGATCTCCAATCTACCCGCTCCATGGCTAATCGATCGGGGATGTTATGAGGTATATTGATAACTGACAAGTTGCTCTTCAGCTTGTTTTTCTATCTAAGCCATGGGCGTCCTACATTCCTGTAGCCCTATCTAATTAGATGAGGATCTTGGGTATCCTGTCATCAGACATTCTCTAATGATGACCAGTCTACCGCAACTGAGACCATAGAGAAAGTCACAAACCCTCCAGTATTACACCTGTTAAACAGATCTACATCTACCGAAGGAGCTTGTATACATTTTTAGCAGAACAGGGATTAAGAGAGATGGTATAAAAACAAAATTTACTTAGTGTTACAAAGAACAGTGAATTGTAGGGAGTCACGATTGTCCATATCCGGGAGGGGCGTGACAAATAGAAGAGGTAGAAATGCCATAATCATACTGTTTGTCTATCTGTTCATGTGGGTTATTGATTTTAACATTTTTATTCTTATTTTTTTTTTTTTTGTCCATGGTAAAACAGACAATGCAATAATGTTAATCGAGATATTAAAACTTCTTGGGTGGCAAAAAGTTTTTCTTTCATTCCTAAAAGTCAGTTATATCCGGCTTTCGAATCCTGTACGTCAAAAATAGAAATCAGTTGCAACATCAATATACCTCCATACATGCATCAAATGTTTTATTTACTTATATAGCTTGCAATACTCATGTCATTCAAAACTATATCTTTCTTTTTTTTTCTCGTTTTCTTCCTTCTACTTCTCCTTGCCTATATATATATATATATATATATATATATATATATATATATATATATATATATATATATAGTACAGGTAATCAATCTGCTGGTATCTAATCCGGGTGGATTCTATTAATATTAGCTAATAAAACTCATCCACAGAGAGCTCGACGTATTTATTATAACAGACCATATGTATTTTTTACACCAAAAAACCTAAAATATATATACATACATATATATATATATATATATATATATATATATATATATATATATAAAAAACAAGAGACAAACTGCAAACGTTTTTTGTTGAAATGTGGATTTTTTAAAAGTATACATTATATATCATAAAATAAAATATAATATATATTTTTAGAAAATTCAGATTACAAACAAAAACGTCTGCATTTTGTCTCTTCTTTAAAAATATACACTTTCTTTGGCACAGCTATAATCTCTTCCCTATATATATATATATATATATATATATATATATATATATATATATATATATATATAAATATATATGTGTGTATGTATATATATATATATATATATATATATATATATATATATATATATATATATATATATGGTTGTCTGTGTGTCTGTGTGCGTACGCACATGTGCATGTGTGTGGAGAAAAGCGATAATGTGGATTTTTTTTTAATGACAACGCGTTTTGCCTTTGTGCCATCCGACTTTTTTACACATTTGTTTGAATTTTGTATACTACTAACACACATATAATTGGTATACATGAATAAAATTGCCCAAAACTTAATAATATCAAAGATATTTGTTTTATTATTAAGAAGAAAGACCAAAGGACTTTTTTCATGTAATTTCTTTTTAACCATTTTTAGAACCTTCAAAATACTCGTTAAATATCTTGCCTTGCTGACATCAATGTGTTCCCATAAATTTGCATGCGAAATTTTTGCGTCTTTTTGCGTTCAAGAATATCCTGATTTGGAAATACTTTAAAAAAATCAAATGATTTTTGGATTTTAATGAAACTTACATAACTTATTCACAAATGAATGAGATTATTTGATAATTTTTTAAAGAAAATCTTAGGACTATTTGTTTACATCTTTTATCCCCGGAGAAATTAAATATTGCTTAATTTAATTAAAATCAGAACTCGTTGAAGAATTTAAATGATCATATTTTTATTTTATTTTATTTTTATTTATTTTTTGTAAAATATGGACACAAGTTACTGAAAATCTGCTTTGAATTTTAAAATATAAAGTGTAATAAAACTAAGATATTATTTAATTAGAAAAAACTTAATTTTTAATTGTTTTATGAATAAGATATATTATATATATACTCAATGATTGTTAGCGTTCTTCCATAATGCGAATGTCTTAGTGAAAGCGCTCCTCCTGCTCTTCACTCAAACCTTCACAGTTCTTTGGAAAATAGTCCAAGTATGATCGCAGAAAGGGAAGTTTGACTGACATTCGTGCCCCGAGTTGGCGGAAGATCTTCAATTTCCTTCTCATATTCAAGCGCATCTTAAAAGCCAAACCTGACCAAACACAGTGAATGGTATTTTTGAATTCAGCATAAAATAACGATATTATATCACTTGACCTTTGGAAAAAAGTTTGAATGCAGGTCAGTGTAATCGTTAATTTTACTAGGACACAGGATGTTACAGGTAATGAAAGTGAATGAGAAAACTTTCGTGCACAATAACTAGCAGAATTCAGGAACACAGTAAATGGCGGTTGATATTGTTTAAATTTTATGAAGATTGTTCGGTTCACAAACCTCCCCGTTCTTTTGAGCAAGAATAGAGAATTGAATCCATTGTTTCTTCTTAGGTTTCCTGTTCTTTCTAAAGTCTTATTCTCTTTCACTCCCCGTAGACCCTTCCGTCTTAATGGCATTATCGCGTTGACTGGGGTGAATTTGTTAAAAATATATTTTTCCAAACGTTATTATAATAGCTGGCTGCGTTTTCCTACAAAAGATGGACGCGGGAAAGCACATATTTTAATAAGATGTCTCGAAAGCGCGGACTGATAGACTGCTGTTTAAATTAAGAATAACACCGGGGTTTCTATTTCAAATACCGGTAACCACTATAATACGTTATAAAATTTTTTGAGGTAATAAAAATATCGACTTAAAATAAATTCATTAGTTCTCCCCCCTCTCTCTCCCCCTCTCTCTCTCACTGTATATATATATATATATATATATATATATACCTGGGGAGAGAAAGAAAGAAAAAGAGAATAGGAGTTATGTTTTGTTTACAATGTACAAGAAAGAAGAAATCAATAAAACATACGTTTATTGAACAATTTATTCGTAGAAAAATCATTAAGGAAATGTACCAGGCTATTTTACATACAAGGTTGCAAGTGTCTAACCTTATGATCAATTCTCATTTGCATTCGTGCAAGTAAAGAGTGGGACACACGCCCAATGAGTTGAATATCAATTTTCTCAAAATTTATAGATAATTTGAACCTTCACTTTCTGAAAAGTGCGAGACTTTTCACGGTAAATCATCTTTTTCATGACCATCCAATGAAAGAAATAAATCTGGTGGGGGTTGAAATCTAAGGGGGACAAATCTATTTCTCGGCAAGATTTGATCAAGTCATTGACGAAAAAAAAAAGAAAGAAAGAAAGAAAGATCTAATTAAGAAAATGAATAATCTGTAAAAGATGACTTCTCAGTTAACATGACTTCTCACAATATGAGCTGCACTGTTGACTCACTAAATAAATAAATAAATAGATAGATAGATAGATAGATAGATAGATAGATAGATAGATAATGACCAAACCTATATAGATTCACTATGAACAAATCTGATCTGATTGATAATTTTTTTTACGATATATATTCCTGTATTTATTGAACAATTTAGTTCATACCACATTGACTGAAAAACCTACCAGTACAAAAGAATTCTCCTATTACCATATTAGTACAAAAACGCACAATCTTAAAATTTAAAAATTCAACTTCAGCGTTGCGACCGCACGTTCCAAAAAAATTCTTACAATTAACAAAAACATATTTCTAAAAACATTTTTTCGGATTACATTTATATTTTCGTTGTCCTGATATTACCGAGAGGTAAAAAATAAAAACAAATCTATTTCCATACCTGAAGATGTCTGTAGGAACAGAAGAAATGTGGTAAAAAACTAAAAAAGACCTTATGCAACTGGAATTTATAAACAGGGATCATAATATTCATATACAGGTTCGGGGTTAATGTACTTTATTAAATTTGTTTGCGAAGATGTATTCTCGCTATTTAAAATCATTAACTTCTGTTTTTTGTATGAATGATTCATGTAATGTAAATATATACATATATATATATATATATGTGTGTGTGTGTGTGTGTATGTATGTATTTATACATACATACTGGGTGTTCCCAAAAAACAGGAAATTTGGTAGAGTTTATTTAACTGTTGGAAATTTTGTTACAGTTATTTCAAACTGAAGCAAAGGATAGAAATGTAATAGCTTAAAACAGAAAACACAAATGTTGTATGTGGTGTTCAAACTAAAGTACTCTAAAATGTCTTTGCATTTTTCAGTCCCCAAATTGGATGTTCTTTCCTCAGACAATCACCTCGCATTGAAAATGTGAAAATTGCTGCATCCTGGAACAACAAATGATCACAAAAATTATATAATAGTTAATTTTTTTATTCCATTCACATAGTAAGATATATAGTTATTTTTTTTTATATGTTAGTTAATTATTTTTCATCATATAGTATATCTAAAATTTCCTCTTCGTTTATCCGGCACTATGCATATATATATATATATATATATATATATATATATATATATATATATAGTTGGATCTAAATAATCCTACCTATATAATCTCTCCCTTTCCTTTAAACATGTTTCGTTGAATATGAGAGACAAGGAAAATATATTTAATTTTTTATTTAGTTTTTCTAACATTTTTACATTTTTCCATTTGGTGGAAATAATGAACAGCAAAAATTGTCTGTAATTTCCATTCGCCCAAGCGCTTTCCGCCACATATTTAGAAAGCACTTAATCACCTACAATTTACAACAATCTTAAGGCTGATTCTGGTTGATAATAACAATCAATCCAAAAACTCTAAACTCTGTCTGGAGAAGAAAATATCTATAATTACCTTCCCAACCAATACAAACTGCTATATAAACAATCCGAGCAAATGGCTAATGTCCCTTCAACGGCAATTGCTTACAGAACAATGTAATATGCCAAGCCAATGTAAAATCAGCAGATAACGAAAACATATACATCAAAGTAACTGAAGGACCCTGGAAACAAAAAAACTACGCACACAACATATCCTTTACAAATAGTAAATACACGAAAAGCACAATAATTTCCAAACATATGTGGGAGATTAAAAGCCAAAACCAAATAATACCAAAAATATCATGGAAAATTAGGAAACAGCATCAGCCTACAACAATGAATCCAAAAGCTATAAACTCTGTCTGGAAGAGAAAATAGTTATAATTACCATCCCAGACCAACACAAACTAATAAATAAAGCATGAGAATTCATCTCAAAATGTAAACACGAAAACAACTTCTTACTACGTTACTTAAAAATCGAACAAAAACGAACAAGAATAAACAAAAATAAATAAATAAATAAATATAAAATATTTAAATAAACTCAAATAAAATAAATTAAGCTAAACCAATAAATAAGCAAATAAATTAAGTAAATAAACTAAAAACACACACGCATAAAGAAGTATATGTAATTATAACAACCAACGATAAAATAATCAATAATAAATTAAAAAGTTAACATACAACACTGTAAATAGAAAAAAATTCCATCCCGATCTACAATTATTTCCACTCCATAAGCCCTAAAATAATTCGAAACATTACCTTAACCACGCACTAAAATAACTGTTAGAACAAAACAATAGACTACACAATGCATCCCTGACAAGCATATATAAATAGTCGAGCAAAAAAAAAAAAAAACTTGAATATTGCTTCACGATTGTGTTTGAGCGTGAGACAGACTCTCGCTTTGGGATGTTGATTTTATTATCCACTTTTGTATTTACAAGTATCCCTAATATTGAGCACTTTAACCTATAAGTATATCAGACCTTAAAACTATATTTTATCATATATATATATATATATATATATATATATATATATATATATATATATAAAATAAGAATAAATAATAGAATATAACGAAATGAAGAAAGAAAGAAAGAATTATAAATAAAAAAATAATAATGTAAATAATTATATTACGTTCCTTTTGCATACAGCGTTTTCAACCGTTACACATGACAGCGGAATAAAAAATCCCAGTTTTCCAAAGAATACAAGGATGTAGACAAAGGAATTCTAACTCTTACACAAACACCACATTTGTTCTTCAAAATGACTGCAATGATAAAAACAGTAATAAAATATGAACTCCGGAGAGTTGATCCAGAAAGCAGAAACCTTATTTGAAAATTAAAATAAAAATTAAAAGACAGACCTATCCGGTTTTTTTTAATCAAATTTTTTTGTTTATATATATATATATATATATATATATATATATGTGTGTGTGTGTGTATATGTGTGTGTGTGTGTGTGTGTGTGTGTGTGTGTGTGTGTTCAAATAAATTCTGTACAATTCACATGATGCAAGTGAATACATGTCAATTTTTCTGAGTGGGAAAACCTACTACGCATGCGTTAAGCAACTCTCTATCTCGTGATCACTCAGTTCATAGTGATAAGCCGTTGAGTGAGCAGGTGTACTATGTAACCGTTGTCTTCACAAAGGCCGAGGGAGTCGACTCTTCATGTTTCGTGCAGGGCCTTTTTAATAAAATATCTCCCTTCCTACCCACATCCTTCATTCCCGCTCTTACAGCGCAGAATTGATTCCTACGAGTTATTGTTACGTTTTCTTTACTTTTAGCTGCAATCTTTTTCTTTTCCCCTCTCTTCTCTTTACTTTTAAATGGATTCTTTTTTCCATCGTCTGTTGAAAATATAATTTCAGAAAAGAAAAATTATTGTTTCATTATTCTCTCTACCGAAGACAGATGGAATCAAAATAAATTCGATAAACAAAGACATTCGCATTTTCTCGTTCTACACAGGATAATTCTAATATTTCGAATTCTGTGGCTCTACATAAAGATACTGAGAATTCTATGGATAGATCATGTTAGCAACAACGAGGTTTTGGAGCGAATGGAAACAAAAAAGGAAACTCATATTTAACATCAGGAAGAGGCAGTTGAAATTTCTGGGGCAAGTATTGAGTGAGGAGGGCTTTTAAAATCTGATAAGCACAGGAGAGATAGGGGGGAAGGGACAGATTGAGGGGAAAAGGGTCAGAGGAAAGTAGCATGTAATATATTTGATGAGCTTGAGCAAATGGTTGACAGAACCGAGACTGGTAGAAATAACAAAAAAACAAAACTTATTAAGACCGACAAGGGACAGGAAGATGTGGAGGGTCGTGATCACCTACATCCTGAAGGGACACGGCACATAAATGAAGAATGTTAAAAAGTAAGTTACGTTCTTCGAATATTGTACTTGTGTTCGATTCGAGGAAAATTATTGGACAACTGAAGCACACCATTATTTACATTATTCGGACTATTGTCCTCATCTTTGTCGCCATATTTATCACAACGTTTCGGTCGTTGTACGCTCCGGCCTTCTTCAGGTGGTTGGAATGTCGAACTGAACCCTTTCATGGCGTTGTAATAAATATAGCGACAAAGATGAGGACAATAGTCTGAATAATGTAAATAATGTACATAATACCTCATCTCAGAAATATAGACAGATACTGAAGAACATTGAAAAAGAAATAAATGCTAAAATTACAGCAGTTCTCCGTCCTGAGTATGACGTTAAACTATATCTGACAGCAAGGCCTCTGATCAGGAGGTTTTGAGAAGAGTGGAACCACCTCTTAATTGCTGGTTTTCCCAGGTCCACACTGACCCAGAGTGATAGCACTAGCTATGGTCAAATAGTTAACCCCCATACTGGGTTAAAAATATTAGAAAAATGTAAAAATAGGTTTTAATACCAGCAATACATTTTTGTAAAAAGCTATTACTAGCAATACATTTTTGAAAAAAATATTACCAGAATTTTTTTTTTTTTAAATTGCCAGCAATAAAAATTTTGTCGGCATTAAATAACCCATTGAGGTTGGTATGCCATAAAACAAAACAAAACAAATAACAGTTCTCTTATATTTGCCGTGTCTTTTCAGGTTGAGAAATGATGACGGCTCTCCATAACTTCCTATCCTTTGTGTCTCATATTTTTATTATCTCTCACAGTCCCTATCTCACCATCCATTTGCACAAGGTCGTTATGTGGCTTAATCTCTTGTTTTCTCTGTCCATCTTACCTTACTTTGAATGTCAGGTTCAAGCCTTCTTTCTTCATGATGCGAAATCAAATTTCAGCTCTCTTTCTGATTCTAAGTATAAGCGTCCATTTTGTTTTTATTTTCTTCGTTATTCAAATGTTCAATCCACGGGATTTCCAGAATGCTTCTGTAGAACCTTATTTCTGTTAGCTGAAGTCGCTTCTTCACCTGTGAGATGATTATCCTATGAATTAATAATTGAAAATAAGATGTGAAGAGCAAGAAGCTTGGGAAAGAAGTCGAATGAGTACAGAGAAATACAGAAAGACAACGAGAAACATAGCTAAAGTTAAGAAAGGAACAAGAAAGAAAGTGCTAAAAGAAAGCCGTGACAGAAAAATATCTGAAGAAATTAGAGGAAGAAAATTGTGAAAACAAATGGGATGGAAAATGAAGAAAAGAAATAAGTATTAAAGGAAGGATAATGAATGAAGGAAAGATAAAAAGAAAGAATGAATTAAAGAAAAAAATCGAAACATTTAATGAACAAGAAACAAAACTAAAATACATCAAATCATAGACGTGTATGTGAAACTGTGGCATTCTTGGTAACAGCTACTGTGGGACACTATGATAGACACTTGAATGGACCCGAAGTGACAAGTGCTGTTATCGCCTAAGTTCTCACGAGATTCCCGAGCGAACGATACTTTCGATTTGCCATAAGCAAATGTAAAGAAACATGTAAAACTGAATAATAGAGGAAAAGGTGTAAGCAAATAAGATACCATGAAAATAGTGCCAAGAAAAAGAACAAAATGGTTAGATAAAGATGAAAGCAAGCAGAAAAGTAACTTCAGAATGAAGATAAGACAACAAACGAAGAAAAGAAAATTGGACGAAGACGACGAAAGAAAGAGAGCAGAAGCAACAAAAAAGATGGAGAAGGGAGCAAAATAATTGAAAAGAGATTAAAAAATGCAATAGGATTAAAGAAGTTGATATTAAATAAGAAGGAAAGACATAATGAAAAATACAAAAAACAAAACCAGGAAAAACATGGACGGGAGAAAGATTAATGACAAAAGAAAAATGAAATATGAAATAAATGAATAACAGAATGAAATATAAAATAACGGAATAAAATTGTTTATTCATGACTGTAATACAAAAATATTTTTCCCGTTGCTTAGTCAATGAATAATTTAAAATACCAAATAAAATTGGCATGGTACACTGTCCGAATATGAAAAGGATGATTTAACCAACATGTCTTCACTGACGAACCGTCTACAGGAAAATGTTCACAATATTATGTAAACACTTCAGCAACATCTGAGCTATCATAAAACGTTCCGTTTCGAAGATGTTGAGGTTTTACTTGAGGTGCATTCTATTAAAATGTCTTTATCAAAGAATTTCTCTACCGAAAAAAATATCTCCACTTATCGAAAAACACTATTTGCATTATTCGGACTATTGTCCTCATCTTTGTCGCCATATTTATTACAACGTTTCGGCTGTTGTACACCCCGGCCTTCTTCCGGTGTTTGGAATGTCGAACTGAACCATTTATTTCGCTCACTGGTGTAGACTGTTCTAGTTCCACATGCCATGTTTAATGAAACTAAACGTTGTAATAAATATGGCGACAAAGATGAGGGCAATAGTCCGAATAATTTAAAAAGTGTACATAATACCTCATCTCAGAAATATAGGCAGTTATCGAAAAACATTTAGAATAGGACATAATGTTTATTAAACCTACATTTTTTTCACATTCATATTATATATTATTTAATCTGTCGTTCAAGGTATTAGGAGCTAGTTAGAAACATAGTGACTAGATTTCAATGACGTGTTATTAAAAACGGCTTTAGAGAATACTTTTTTTATCTACATGTGTCTAGAATAGATATTTATTAAATTCACGTAAAGCAGGATCAGATCAAAGGCGAAAGAATCGGGAGGTTTCTGCGTATATTCTTTGGAATTAACATCAAAAAGCATGGGATTTGCAAGTACCAGAATATTGGCTACCTACGACCACATGCTTATATAAGCAAATAATAATCGACATCACGCGGTCCAAATACCCTTCCATTCTTCCGCTATACAAAACGATCGTTTCTTTGCCTAAAGGAAGGATGAAAATTTTCCTTGCTCCTACTTTTTTATTATTTGCTGGAGTTTTAAACGTAACTTTTACTCTGACGTGACAAAAGTCATGAGATGGCAGTATGTCAAGGTAATGGTAGCTGGCGCCTCTTTATATAGAAATGCCCAGACATATACCTAATATATACTGACACTCGGTGAGTCGCTGGGAAGTTAGGCTGCCCATGACAGGTGGACGTGAATAAGTAGATTTCGAACGGGATATAATAGTGTCTGTTAGACGAATAGGACATCCCATTTCTGAAATTGTGGGGATATTTGGGATCCCTCGAACTAAGGTGTCAACTTTGTACCTGGAATACCACCTGATGGAAGACATTCCTTGCCACATCTTGATTATGTCATTATTTTCTCTTCTTGTGACATGTGCTACACAATTTTTGTTGCTGATGTTGTTGAAAGTATTCAAGAGATGTTTTGTAAAGTTTATTTTTATAACCTATCTATAGAGCCTAGGAAGACTTTACGGATTTATTCGTTTGTAGCCTTTTAACAGTTGATTTACTAAAATGTTTGTATATAGTTGATAATTTAGATAATTATGTATTAGTTGGACGTCATTCGTATTTAAGTCTGAAACTACCGAAGCTATTTAAAAACATGTCTCTAGTTTTCAGTTTAAAATTTTGGTTTTGTAGCATCTTGTGCTGTTGGTCATACCCAGACACTAAAAAAGCTATTGGAGTAAATCTAGAGTGAAGCCTCGAAGGCGGTTGACTATCAACAGTGACAACCTTCCGGCAGCTTTTGTAATCACTCCGACCCCAACTGTAATGTCGTGTATTCATTTGGATCTTGTCAGCACGACTGAGAAGGAGGTCATGTGATGTGGGCAGCACGCGGCCTCAATATACCATTGTCTAGTCGTGCGCCATAGAGAGGAGAGTTCACTCCAGTCTCACCACCTAAGAACAGAACTTTGATTAAAAATGGCGCTATCATTATCTCGCGAAATAAATGGAGGCATCTCACGCTAATCTATACACAGAAGAATTTGAAGTATTTATATCAATTCAGCATTATGAATTTTTATGATGGATTCGGGGCAGGTGTTATCTCTACATTTGTTTCATTAGCAGTTCTTATATTTAAATTCAAAATCAGAACCTTTATAACTAAAGAATTTTCAGAGAATATACATTGTCGTAGATAATTCAAAATGTCGCGTACATGGTTAATAAATAATTTATGATCAGACCAGTTGAATGTAAGCGTACTAATAGATTAGTAACTAACTTTCGTCGTTTTACTGTTGAAATACCCAGGTGTAACTGTATGTTCTATGATAATGGTTTTCTTTTCTCACACTTCTCACCTGTGTAACCCTCTTTCGATTTATTGCCATTCTAACACCTGCGATCTTCAAAGACTTAAATGCAACCAGAATAGCCATATTTTGTCTTCCAGAAACCTGATCTTTTATTGTTAGTTCAACTCACTAAATTCTTTTGCAACTATGCTCTGCAAACAGTTCTGTCTACCCAACTTCACCCATAAGGCTTGGCGCAAATTCTGCTGAACTTGATAAACCTATTCTCCTGAAAAAATTCTTTTAAGAGAAAGATTTTATAAATGTCAACCGACATCAGCATGAATTACTCAGTCAAAGAATGACAAATGTTTCTGTATAAGAAAACTACTATTTTTATTGCGATTAATATTTTGATTGTTTGAAATCTGTTCTGACGAAAATCCATGAGGAGAAAAAGAGAAAGAGAGACAGAGAGATTGAAAGATGGGGAGGGGGAGAGAAGGAGATAGTGAGAGAGGAAGCGAAAGTAAGAAAAGAAAGAAGAATTAAACATTAGCCGACAGGGTGACCCAGAAATTACTTTTTTTTTCTTTCCGGACTGGTCAAGTTAGAAAACAATGAGAGAAAGGAGTGATCAGATTCAAAGTAGATGCATTGTATTGTATAGACGTTTTCAACAGCGAAACCATCATCCTCACATTATAGCCATCACAATTACAAATTGATAATAATAATAATCATAATAATAATAATGATAATATTTGAAATCAATATAATAAAATAAGTTAAATTAAAATAAATACGTTCAAGAAAGGAATAACAGACATATTGTTTTCGGATATTTTACAGTTGCAAATAACTCTATTAACGCAGATAAAACTTGTTACATCTTTACAATCACACTCCTTTTGCAAAATTGAATTTTCCCCAAAGCTTTTCCATAACAACGATCTAGAAGATTGTAACCTCTTTCTCCTCACATCTGATCAGACTCACTGCAATTTATCTTTTGTTTTCGGAGGATGGAAAATTTGGTCAGTTGCCCATTGGCCCTAAATTCAGCACTTTTAGATCAGTTCAAAGTTTACCAGGTAAGAGAGAGAGAGAGAGAGAGAAAGATTGATGGAAATAGCCTAGAGAAACACATTCAAGTTAGCCTTGCGTTATCACACAGAGAAGTTGCTATGGGAGGGAGGAAACTGGGCTGTAGAAAAACATTCAGATAAAGCTTAACACTTTATCGTACATTATAAAAAACTAGCTGAGTCTGCTCAGCGTGAGAAATGTCGAGTGTTTATCGCAAGTCGCAAGTGTTAGTGATATAATCTGGAGGAAAGGGACCTATAGCAATAATAATTTTTTTCTTGTTGACCATTACTAATTTTAATTAGTAATATTCTTTCGTCTTCACTTTTTTTGCAGATTTGCTGTAGTAGTCAATATACGGGAGCGAGCAAACAGCATGAATCAAAAATAATATCAGATAAGATCTCAGTGGTACACGAACTCATGTCCCCATTACTCAGACGAAGTCTGATTAAAAGTACTAGGATAATGAGCTACAGAAAACTGAAAAATGAGATAAATCTAGTATATATTTCGGAATATAAGACGCACCAGGATAAAAAAAAAACACGTCCTTATATTGTGGACAAAGATTTTGGGGAAAAAAAAACTATAGTCGTATTTGAAAGATTTTATTAAACAAAAAAAATTAATCAGATTCTTTAAAATCATTATGCAGAACGTTGCAGAAATACCTTCCACATTTTAAAAGGTGACAAAAAGAAGAAAGTAACTGCTATTAAAAAATTAATTTCCATGTTGTTTAACCAACGGGTTGCAGTTTTCGTCATTGACTTTTAAAGATGACGTCCTCTAAATGGTGATTCCTATTCGCCATACACTCTTGTAGATGATGTTTAAAGTTTTCCATCGCCTGGAATTTCGAGCCATTCAGGGTTTTTCAGGTGCCTTTAAGCTCTGAACCTGTAGCCCTGAAAACTTCAACCCATAGCAGTATCAATTTTCTATTCGGAACAATATTATTTCGGCGCAACGTAAAATGAGAACAAACAGCTTTATGCTGCAATAAAAAAATTCAACAGAATAAAAAACAATTTCAATAGCAAACTCATGGTCTACACCGGTTCAAGCCAAGATGGTTACTGATGGTATCTGAAAGCAATTAGTAAGATATGAGCAAGAAGACACTATTGCCAATTGGTTAAGTTCATTAGAACCACGCAGGTGATAGTTTAGACTGTGTTAGGTATTTCTACCTTACCCTGTATATTGTACATAGGATACTTCGGCTTTCGGTGACGTATTCAATTTGACAGTCAGCACGAACCAGACCGC